AACTTGCCTCATTTCCTGCCCCGTTTATTTTTTTTTTCAAAAACTTCCAATTAACAATTTTATATTTTTAATTTGTAATTAATTATTTTTTTATTCTTCACGGGGCAGGTTCGGGGTGCTTCGGGGATAGGCACCTCCTCCTCACCTGCCCCACCAACCCATCGGGGCGGGTTTTTTTGCAATCACTAAAATTAACTAATACCATAGTTTTTGTTTCCATTTTGGGAATTTAGTTATTTCGTGTTTCTTTCCTTTTCTGCATTGATTTTAAAGACAGGATTTTTGCCCAATGAAGAAAGTAATTTTGGTGTTGTAGGGTACATGATCACATTTTTCAGTTTTTGTAAAACACATTAGTCAGTTAGCTTTTGTTAATATGTGACCTAAATTCTGTTGGATATTTGTGGATTGGTTGACAGAGGTGTTAAAGAAGTATGGAAAGTTCTTGGGCAGCAATTGGGCACTTGAACATCCAATCCAAGCAGATAGGGGCCATTTAAGGTGTTTAGAATAAATTTTGCACCGAAACTCAGCACATGAGCGTCATTGGAATCACTTCCGCTACAAATCACTTACCGCTCGAGTGTCGTGCGCCGCTCGCTAGCGCAAGGATGCCGCTCGAGTGACAGTATTATCAGACATAATTCTATTTCCTTTTTCTGACGAGGTTTTTGATCCTCTTCATCTAAAATATATTATTTGAATCCTATATATACTCCATAAAATTATGGCTTTGTAATTGAGTTAGAGAGACATTAGAATAAAATCTTGGAACACCATTCATTTTATTCTCTCCTTATTAATAAAATCTTCATTCTTCTACCAATTTTCTTATGTTCTTCTGGTGTTGTAATTGCTACTTCATATTGTGCCTTATAATCTCGTCCTCTTTTCTAACAAGTGGTATCGAAGCTTAAGATTTGATTTGTTTGAAGTTTTTTTGTTCTTGTGATGGAAACCATAAAGTATGATATTCTATTTTTGGATCGTAACACTAGATTCTCGTTATGGCTGGTGAAGATGTGAGTAGTACTCGCTCAAATGGATTTAGACGACGCTTTGTTTAGATTGGGCAATATGTCTTCAAATTAGTCGATGGAGTATAAATAACATAATAATTGAAAGGACATATCACAGATTCATCTTCATCTTTCGGATCATATTCTTCGGGACGTTTTGAAGAAGAAAATTGCAATTGCATTATGGTTCAAGTTGGAGCAATTATGCATGATGAAGATTCTAACTAGCAATTTTCATTTGAAGTAGCATTTATATTCTCATCACATGACAAAAGATACATCACTTGTAGATCACCTAGCTGTTTTTAAGAAAATTATCGCTGGTTTAGAAACTTTGTAGGTTAAGTATGATAAAGAAGATTTGAGGCTGGTTTTATTGTCTTCGTTGCCTACTTCATATATGTCGTTTAGAGAAATAATATTATATAGTCGTGATACTCTCACTGTTGAATAAGTATACGATGCGTTATTTTCGAAGGAGAAAATAAAATATCTTGTTGGATCTGAGGCACATGAAGATGACCTTGTTGTTCATGGTGGTTATGAGAGGGACAGTTCGAAGTCTAACTCTAGTAATAAAATTTGTAAATATTGTAAGAAGAAGGGACGCATAAAGAATGATTGCTATAAATTGTAGAATAGAGAAAAATTTGCAGCAAATCAAAAGGGAAAGCAACTAGAAAATTCAGGTGAAGCCGACATTACAGAAAATTGCTACAGTGATAAAGAACTTTTGGTTATCTTTGATGGCAACTCCAAACATGATGAAGATTGAATTCTTGATACATCTTGCACTTTTCATATGTGTTCCGATTGGAATTTGTTTTCGACATATGAAACAATTTTAAAAGGTGTTGTGGTAATGGGTAACAATGAACTTTGTAAAATAGTTGGTATTGGAAAGATCAGAACTAAGATGTTTGACAGGACAGTTAGAACACTTGATGAAGTAAGGCATGTTCCAGATTTGAAGAGAAATTTTATTTCCTTAAATACTCTTGATTCAAAATGGTACAAGGAAATCGTTGAAGGTGGATAATTGAAGGTCACTGAAGGTGTCTATGTTGTGTTGAATTGGCAAAAAATGACCCCATGTGTATGTTTCTACATAATCATTGGAGACCAATTAGTAGACATTAGGAACTTTGGTGGTTATTTAGTTTGATCCAGTACCATTGGAGTTTGGTTTGGAATCTATGTTGAAGAATATGATAAGTGTGTTTTTACACACTTATTAGACACTTTTCGGCGCTAATTCTAATTGAAATTGAGTGGATTTCTATTCATAATTGTTAATTTTCACTTTTTTAGGCAAAAACCC